CTTTCTGTGCACCTGTCTGCTTGTTTTTTTTTAAGAGATGTGGAAATAAGATGATCATTAATTTTACTTTCTTCCAGAGCTGAATATCATAATTCCACAGTTGCTTTTGTTGTGTGGCAAGCAATGGGGAATGAACATGGGGAAGAAGGTTATATAATGGCAGAAAAAAAAAAAAACAATTATGGTGTTAATCACTATAGTTGATAATTTGTGCTGAGTCTTTATGAACTTGTTTCATGTGGGACAGACCTTGTCCAAACAGCTTAATTACAGGGAATGAACAAGGGATGAGTGAGTGCAGCAGACATGACTCGCTGTGCAGAGGTGTGTTCTAAACTCACTGTGTTTTCCCTGCTGGCTGCCTCTGCTTCAGAGCTTTGTCATTACTACAGTAAAAGGGGAAAATTACAGTGGTTGGGCTGAAGGTATCACAGCATGCTCAAAGGAGTGGAGTTTTGATGTTAGAAAATACACCGATGTATGAATGGTGATACGATGCACCAAAAGTAATGCTTCTTGTTTTATAATGTTGGCCCACATCAGGAGCAGATGGTGGTGGTATGGCATTTTGAACACCTCCAGGGACAGTGACTCAACCACCACTCTGGGCAGTCTGTGCCAATGCCTCACCGCTCTTTCTGAGAAGAAATTGTTCCTAATATCCAACCTGAATCTCCTTGGGCGCAACTCAAGGCCACTCTTGTCCTATCACTGTTATCTGGGAGAACAGGCTGACTTCCCCTCATCACAGCCTTCTTTCAGTGATCTGTAGAGAGTGGTAAGATATCCCCTGAGCCTCCTCTTCTCCAGACTAAACAATCCCGGTTCCTTCAGTTGCTTCCCATAACACTTGTGCTTCAGACCCCTCACAGCTCCGCTGCCGTTCACAGGACATTCAATGTCTTGTAGTGAGGGGAACACAGTACTCAAGGTGCAATATACAAATAAAAATCTTAAAGTATTATTTGCAAGATATTTATTAAGGTGAGACTTCGTGAGCATAATGGCTCATTCTTATTCACCCAAACCATTATATTTATTTCCAAATTTTCAGCCAAATATCTGTAAAATGACTAATCTGTTAAAATGTTGCCCAGAGTAATACTCTGGGTAGAGCAGCATTGTATTTCTGCAGGGTTTTCTCTGTAATTTGATAGCTGAAAATATCTGTCTGTGCTTTACTCTGGTGTATACTTGCTTGACTTTGTGTAATCTGAGCTTTGTCTGAGTTTTGGTGAGAGTGGGCCATGTGCTGCCTGCTGCCGGGCTCTGTTCTGCTTTTGTCCCAGTTGTTTTCAGTTTGGTAATGATTCCCTGTGGTCCGTGAACATTCAGGTCCATGTGAGGTCAACCATACCTCGCAAATAGCGACAGTGGTGCAAATAATGACAAATAGGAGGGGGTCACACGGTGTTTCCTGTTTCCTGCATTTAATCCAGAGGCCGCTGATTTGTGAGCAGTTGCATTGCTGTACAGAGTTGGGTGCATCTTTAGGCATTTCTGAATATTCTCCTGCTCCTGACCTCCTTTTGTTTCCCATTTTTCAAACACTTCCTGGAGCAGGAGCCTAACTGGGGATATTCTCCCTCAGATGTTGCCCTTTTTGTGTTTTACATGTGTTTTAGTTTGGTTTTCTTAATGGGTGTAGGTTAACAAAGCTGTTTCTGTTTAGCCACTACCTGAACTGGGATGGCTTGAAAAGGAAATTGGTTCTACTGAGGGATAATTTTGGTCATTAACGGCTGCCTAGAACCCATGTTGGAAAGGGGTTTCAAAAAGAAGAATTGACCCTGTAGGAAAATAGAATTTAGAAATTAGGAAACTGTGAGATTATCTGTAACATAGAATCATAGGATCATAGAATGTCATAGATTGGTATGGACCTCAAAGCCCATCCAGTTCCAGCCTCCCACCATGGGTTGGCTGCCACCCACCAGCTCAGGCTGCCCAGGGCCATCCTGGCCTTGAGCACCTCCAGAGATGGGGCATCCATACATCCTACCTTATTTGCACCAAGTGATGCTATGAAGCATAAGGTTGCAATAACATTACTTGTGATTATATTTGCATCAGTGATGGAAGGCTATCAGGATATACTGAAAAAGAAAATGGAAACAACACAAATCACAATACTCTCTCCTCTGGCTTTTTATAAAGTCAGTTCCAAACTGTAAGATCATAGGATTCTGCTCACATTGTGCTGTCTGTTATTGGCTGATGGAAAATAAAGAGCTTTTGGATTTCCTGTGATAGCCCTTTGCAAACTGTGGTGTCTGACAGCAGTGGGCTCATTGCGGTAGCTGGAATGGAAACAAAATAAAAATGAAAAATAGAAATTGTTACTTTCTTGGATTTCAGAGAAATGACTAAAATCCCCCAAACCTCTGGAAAGTATGGTAAAACATATTACTCAAAGATTTCAGGAGTTTTTCCAAAGCTAATCCTTTAAACATAGAATAACAAAATTCGGTATTTTTTATTAATGTATATTAGCAAATAAACAAGGTTTTGTGTGTTTTGTTGCTCATTTATTTATTCTTGTGTGCCTTATTGTGAAGAAAGACAGCTACACCTTCTGGATGTGACTGATGCCCTGATTTCATGAACGCTGGCATTTTACAGAGTGGGATGTGCTCTTCAGCTCTTTCACAGGAAAGCTTTTTGAGACTGTGGAGGAAGCAGACCAGAAATAGAATTATGCAAAAGCTGCTGACTTTTTAAAAAGAACTCCTGGTGATAAAGCAGTTTCATTATGTTGCTGCCATTTTGAGGAAAGAATGTCTACCTTTTGTTTAAATTTGTCTGGACTTGAATTTGTTAACCCATTGTTATGACTGCTTAGTGAGCTGGGACATTTTCTTTAGCTCTTGTTTTCGTCATTAATGATAAAATGCTAAACCTGGGCTTTACAAGAAACCATTCTTTTACTGTAGAAGAGCAGAGGAAAGACAGTTCTCTTAGAAACTTGCAGTGGGAAGACTGGAGCTTAGTAGAATGCGGTTAGAACTTCTTATAGCTTGTTTATGCTGTTGGATATAACATCAAATCTGCACATTTTTGTCCGAGCAGGGTAGCCACCCTATAGAATGCTGTCAGTACTTTCTGTGCAGACACCTCGCTTCAGGAAATTCGGAAATGCACAGTGGAGATTTGGAAAACTGGATTCATTTTAATCTAGCAAATGTCTTCTGATCAGCTCTGCGTGTATTTCACCTATCGCTGGGCTTCTTTCAAGGCTCTTATTCTGTAACTAAAAAAGCTGTTACATGCTGTTAGATCAGAAATCAGCTGAGCTTTTTGGTGTTGTGTTTGGAGATGCGTGTGTTGAATCAAAGCATTTCACAACATTCAGAGTACCGAGTACCGGATGTACTTTTCTTCAGTTTTTCTTATTCCCCTAAGAGGTCTTTTTAGACTAATTGTGCTTATCTGGAGGTTGTTCATTCTTTGCTATCAACTAAGCACATCAGATCTATGAAATGCTCAGACTTGTGATGTACCTTACCTTGAGAGATCAGCACTCTGGAGATATTTGGGACTAATTCAGCGATAAATGGCTTATGTTATAAGAGATGAATTCCCTTTGTACAGTATTTTATATTATTTTGCATTATATTCTTTTAGTTGGAAACTGTTTTCCCTTGGCCTGTCATAACAGACCCTGCTAAAGAACCTGTCCACTTCTTTCTTGTGGTCCCCCTTTTGACACTGAAAGGCCGCTCTCAGGTCTTCTCAGACCCTTCTCTTCTCTGGGCTGAACAGCCTCAGCTCGCTCAGCCTATCCTCATAAGGGAGACTTTAATAAAATTCAGATTTATAGATAGAAATAATAATTAGAAAGAAGATTAGCTTTTAGAAGAGTTTGTGAAATGGCTGTGGTGTAACACTACAGAAAATTGAAATTTCTGGGTACGTTCCTGAAATGTGGTCAGAGGTTTGCAACAACTGCACGCTAACCTTGGAGACACTGCAGCAATGTCAAGAGCTCATTAAATTTAGCTGCATGATTGATTGTATGGGCAGCTACAAATGCAGCTAATCTGCCCATAATCACTTTTTCATGTTCCCAGTAGATAATTTTCTGGGGACAACACCATACTCTTGCAAGTGTGTGCTGTCAACAGTTATATCAATGGAGTATGGAGCTATTTTAGCAAATCAGCTTGTAATTAAGTTCCACAATACTCGTCCATTTTCCTACATTAGAATAGTTTGTGTAAATTAATTGCTTGGGGTTTTTCTATCCAATTTATAGCTTTGAGCTTTTAAGTTGACGTGAACTTTCTTTAACGAGGTTGCAGGTCTTTTTGAGCTGTTTTGCACAGAATTTGATATTCTTTGAACCTATCATCATTTATATTTTTTAAAAGTTACAAAATCACTATGCTTTCCAGTACAGTGGTACCATGGTACCTTACAGTTACCAAGAAACAGACCAGGAACAGTTGATAGACTGGGAAAATCTCATTCTCATCCCAACCTTTTCCTGTTAGAAGACCCTTTTGGGCACAGCGACCAGTGGGGCTGAGTACTGCGACAGATGGCATCTGAGAGCTGGGATGGGCCTTCTGGTGGTAGCTCGTGGAAAGAAGAGAAGCCCCTGTTTGATCTGAAGGAAATTGTGATGATTTTCATAAAATCATCATAGAGTCCTCACAGAATTGTTTAATTGGAAGAGATCTTCAAAGATCATCCAGTCTGACTCCCTGCAGTGAACAGGGACACCTACAGCTAGATTTTCTGCTCTCTGTGTTGAATTCTATGCTATATGAACTGGGATATTCCTGTGGTACTGTGCCTCTCTACTCTGCCTTCGTGAGGCCCCATCTGGAGTATTGTGTCCAGGTCTGGAGCCCCAGTGCAAGAAAGACAGAGAGCTGCTGTAGAGGGTCCAGAGGAGAGCCACAAAGATGATCAGGGGACTGGAGCACCTCCCCTATGAAGACAGGCTGAGGGAGCTGGGCTTGTTCAGCCTAGAGTAAAGAAGGCTGCAGGGTGACCTCATTGCAGCCTTTCAGTACCTAAAGGGAGCCTACAAACAGGAGGGGAATCAACTCTTTGAAAGGGTTGATAACTGCAGGACAAGGGGAAATTGAGGGAGGAAAGATTTAGTTTGGATGTCAGAGGGAAGTTCTTTACTATGAGAGTGATGAGGTGCTGGAACAGCTGCCCAGAGAGGCTGTGGATGCCCCGTCCCTTGAGGTGTTCAAGGCCAGGTTGGATGGGGCCCTGGGCAGCCTGGTCTGGTGTTAAATGGGGAGGTTGGCAGCCCTGCGTGTGGCAGGGGGTTGGAGATTCATGATCCTTGAGGTCCCTTTTGACCCTGGCCACTGTGGTTCTGTGCCATGGAGCATTGGCCCAAGGCTCAAATATCTGTTAAGTTCTGTACCAGCCTTTAAACATTTAAGAGAGTTTTTCAACCTAATCTCCCAAAGCCATAATCCTATAATGATATTAACCCTGTTTCACTTGCTTTTACTGATTCAGTAGTATTATTTCTGTGCTAAGAACAACAGTAACAGAGGGAAGGAAGACTGTCCTGTCTTCTCTGCAGCATTCTCTATGAGTGCCAAGGCTTCTTCCTGAACCTATAATGTTAAGAAGTGGGTGGTGGATCCTCTACTTTTTGAATGATACTTAGTAAAACACACGAGGCAACTTTAAAACTGCTGGGAAAGAGGGGAGTGTAGTCATTGTAAGCAATTTATCTAACAAGGTTGTAATGGAGTTGTGTAATGTGAGAGAATTGCATGTTCCCTAGTATGTGAGCTTTTGCTGTGTGATCTATTTTAAAAAGATATCGTTAAGTATTTCAGTAAAACACCATTGCTTCCACCAGTTTCTGTATCAGATTGAGCTTCTCTTTATCAGTTCTAAGAATCTTAAAGCTTAATAAAACCTTACAGAAAGGCAGTGCAATTACATCTCAAATGGCTTAAAATAGTGCATCTCAGCTTGTGATCAGCATCTCCTTTTCCTTCCTACTCTCCACATGAGATTAGAGGACCAAATGTTAAAGTTAAAAGGACCAAATGAGGAGCTCTTTGAAGGACCCGTGAAGTCCTTTCCTTCCCTGAAGAGCTCAAGTGCCCATGGCAGCTTAGGAAACTTCACTGAAAAGTAATCCCATTGCAGCACGCACTGTTTTGTTCATCATATAGAGTACTGTCTGCTTCCACCCCTTTCTGAGCAATTCTGGTTGCATGTCTTTCCCAGTGTGGTTATAATAAAATGTTAGCTGTTAAGAGCCCTTGCTACTCTGAGGAGCTAGTTGTGTCTTATGATGACAGCTCATGTCAGCTGTGCATTACGGAGGTGGCTATCTCAGGAAATGTGAGAGGCATCTCCTTAACTCCCTGTGCTATTTCCCCCTCCTCACGGTCTTGAGAGGCTGTTACGTGCGAGGAAGCATGTGTGGTTTGTGATGCTACTGAAAACTCTGCCAAAGCAATGGGTAGCTGCAGAAATAGTGATGTTAGATGGTGCCATGTAGGATCAGGGAATCATTACAGTTGCAAAAGACTCTAAGATACTCTGTTCCGGCCATCACCATGCCTACTAACCCGTGCCCTCGAAGTTGCAAGTATGCAAGGGCTTATGCTTAAAAATAAATGATAACAAAAAATTTTAAATAGATTAATTTCAATTAGTAAACAGCAAAATACCACTGTATGTGTTATGCAAGTGGACATACATTAAAAAACCACACATTTGTAGTAGGACTCTGCAAGTGCTGCGTGGCTTTCAGAGAGGAAGCCCAGTTTCTTTGAGCCCATATTTGCTCAGCTCCATTGTGTTCCTGCCACTCTGAGCAGCCGTGGGCTTGGGCACACGAACCAGGAAATTGTTGAGGCAGAAGAATAACTGTTTGTGCTGGGTAATTTTTCAGGCAGATCAGTCGCCTGGATACGTTCATCACACAGCTGCACAAACAGCTGAAGAGACTCAGGTGTGGGGCACTGGGCTTAAGCAGATCCGCCCTGAAGGATGGTTTGTTATGAGAGGTGAAAGAATGACAACAGTTGGGGCTGGAAAAGACCTCTGAAGGTGATCAACTTGGTCTGTTGGCCATAGTGCAAGAAATCAAAATGTAAGCTGTTCTTGAAAGGATTATCTGACTTGCTGATGTCTGATAATAGAAGTTCCTGAAGTAGATAAGTAATAGAAGTTCATGGTGTGGTGGATTTTTAAACAGTGAAGTAGAAAACAGAAGTTATAATTAGAAATTGTTTACTTAAAGCATTAGGAGGGAACCTAAATTTAATTAAGAAGAGGTCAGATTATCTTAGACGATTATTTTTCCAGGCAAAAATGGTCCAATTTTCTGATTTAGGCATATATTTTTCTTGTCACTGGCTTTCAGAATGTTTTTGGAACTTGGGAACATAGTACAAATAATTTAAAAAAACAGTAATCAAACCTAAATCTTTGTTTGTTTGTTTTCTTCTCTAGTTCAAATGATATATATTAGTAATGTAAGAACAAAAAGTACTTTTCCACCATGTATAAATGTATGTAAATAACTGCTTGCATGGTCTGAGAGGGCCGGTATTTGAGCTGACTCTGCTCAGATGCTGCTGTGTACTCTCAGGTGTTGATTGGCTGTGGTGTGCTGACTGCTGACACGCTTTTCTCTGTGGTGAAAATGCATGTGATGTTCAGTGCTCGTTGCATATTTTCATTCTGTGTGTGCTCCTAGAGCATGTGTCAATCCCAAGAAGTGTAGTGAACAGAGCAGTTTTTGCAGGAGTTGCTTGTAACAAAAAGGTGAAGTGCAATCTGTCCTTGCATGTATGTGTTGTATGACATGTATGTGTGCATCCAATTATACTTTTTAATGGTTATCATTAGATACAATTTCTATGGATGATTGAAATTTTGTACTGAAAATGGAGATTAAGCCGCTCTGTTATAAATGATGGTGGCTGACACTGTGGGGTTATTTCTGAGTCACGGAAATACATTCCTGAGGAGCGTCCAAAAGTTTAAGTAAGGCTTCTTTCCCATGAGTGTATGACATTTTGCACAGAAAAGGCCTGACTCTCTGGGATTCTTTGACCCTCACATACTGTGTATATTTTACCTTTATACATGCAAACAGGCAGGGCATAAATGAAATCTTAGCAAGTTGTAGCTTTTTATAACTTATCTTTGTACGATGGTTGGCGAAAAGTATCTGTTAGGAGCACCGGGTTTCCAGTCTGCTTCTGTTTTTCTCCTCCAGTGATATTTTAGGGATAAGGAACTGTCAGTTTCACTTATATGATGATAGCACATGCTTTCAGCATTGATTTGAGTTAATCTCCCTTTCCATATGCCTATTGTCAACTCACCCATTTGCTGAAACCACGAGAGGTCCTTGCAAGTGACTTGTGGTAAATCTGAGCATGCTACAATTTCTTGCAGTTGCTAAAGAAGTCAGTCTAGCTCAAAGTAATTCTGCTGCAGTAGTGGGAGAACCCTTCTCTTTATTTCAGTTATGAGAATGTTATTTCTACATCTTTCAATCCGTTCCCTTCCTGTCTCAGTGCTTATCAGAATTTCATCTTATTCTGGGATTCTTTTTAATTTTTACCAGCATGAAAACAAATACAAGTATGTAATAAATACAATTTTCGCCACTATTTCTGAATACAGCAGCTTTCAAGATGGCACATGGCACAGAATCTTGTGGTTGGAATATTATTCCAGCTACTTGTGCTTTTCAGGACTGAAACTATTTGTACACCTGTAAACTTCCAAAGACAAATATCTATTGCAGAATATTTGGTAATATCAAACTTTGTAATTCTTCAGTGATTATGAGCTCTGGGATAGAAAGAGGCAAACAAATCCTCACAGTAAAGGTGAAATCTTGAATGATATTTGTAATATAAGCTAAGGACTTGTGAACTCAGAAGTCAAATAGGAGACATCTGCACAGACTATTAAGAAATTGTATTGTTTTTTTTTTTAGTATTTAATAAATCTGTAATACTCTTGTAGGATAAGTAACCAGATTTAAAATTTCAGCTTACATATGGATTTAATGCTTAGAGATGTTAGTAACTTTGTAGTTTTCATTTGCACTGTTGTATTTGAAGTACATTTCAAATTCTACATTTCAAATGCATCCTGTTTTGAATAACTCACAGCCACTTGCTCCTCACGTTCATTCCTCAAAGTTGCACAGGCAGGAAGCACAAATTGTGCTGGAGGCCACGGTGTGTCATGGGCTGTGGTTTTGTTACAGCGGTGTGCTTCACTTTGGTTCAGTAGGGCAAAAGCCCAGCGGCCTCTTCCTGACCCTGTGCTGTCATCACTGAGTCACAGAATCAGAATGGTTTGGGTGGGAAGGGACCTTTAAGATCACGTAGTTCCAGCCCCCTGCTATAGGCAGGAACGCCTCCCTCTCGACCAGGATGCTCGCATCTTGCCATCCAGCCTGCCTTGAATGCTTCCAGGGAGGAGGCAACCACAACCTCACTGGGCAACCTGTTCCAGTGTCTCACCACCCTCAAAGTAAAGAATTTCTTCCTAATATCTAGTCTAAATCTACCCTCTTTCATTTTAAATGTATTTCTCCTCGTCCTATCGCTACATGCTCTTCTGAAAAGTCTCTTACCAGTTTTCCCCTAGGCCCTTTCAGGTACTGGAAGGAACTTGGGGTGGAGTCTTTGGGATGGAAAATAGATGTGTTCATTTTTGTATGCATCTCTGTTCTAGTAGAAGGCATATGGCAGCAATCATCCAGAAAAGTGCCCCCAAACAGGAGTGATGCCTACAGTAGTTGGCATTGTCGGAAAGGAATCCATGAACCAAAACGTGTAACCATCATGAAGAACTCATTAGTTTGTAGTACTGTCACAGTGACACAATCCTAGAACTCAGAACTAGGTTTAAGGTGTAAATTCTAAATCTGGTTAAGTATAATTCACTGATGTAATATAAAACACTTGAATTTGTTATCAGAATACCTTGACACTGCTTCTTTCTGGACTCTGTGTTAAATACATTTTTGTGTTTATACTATGCATGTAAGTATCTGAAAATTGAAACGGATAGAAATTTGGCAAGTTGTTTATATTTCTGAGGTGAATGAATGTTTACA